TTCTGTCCGGGAGAACTTCCCGATGGGTCATCCCTAGCCAATTAATTGAAAGTTTGGCCTAATGCAGACAGAAATTAAGTGGCACTCTCATGAGGCCTTTTATCCTACCCAAATACAATTTGCCATGGCTGAAAATTCACTTTGAATTATGTCCTTTTAGATGTACATTTATGAAGTTTGATGCCATATGTAAGAAACACCAAGCAATGAGGAAAGCGTCATATACATTCTGTACATGTTTCGGTAAGTAACACCAAGTAGCAATATTAGACAACCCAACATAGTCACAGTTTTAGAAAGAGAAGACAAATATATGCAACTTATATATACACGTGGGTGTATCCCCGCACTCCAGTCTGGGCGACAGAGTGAGACTCCAACTCAAAAAAAAAAAAAATACACATTCATTTTTATTGGGAATTTATCCTGAGAAAATGATTAGACAGGTATACAATGATATTTATACAAGGATATTCATCATAATGTTGTTTGTAATTTTAAAAACAAAGCAAAACAGTATCACCAATAGAGACTTTTTTCAGTAAATTTTTAGGCCAGTTTAGATAATGAACTATTATTCAAGTATTAAGATTGATGTTTGTTATATTTAACTGCTGTAGAAAGATATTTGAAGATTAAGCTAGAGGGTAGGGAGTTTTTTACAAAAGAGAATGAATGGTAAAATCTCTTGGGGGCAATTTAGTTTAGAGATGAAAAGAGTTAGGCTTTGAAGCCTGCGGTCCAATGTTGGTTTTGTCATTGAAGTGTTTGTCTAATACTTTATCTGTGAAATGGGGGTAATAGTACTTAAGAAGAATTATGAGAACAAATAATGTAGCCCATGTAAAGTGTTCAGAATTGTATCTGGCTAATAGTGAGTGCTCCACATTAGCTTAAGGCCATGGGAGGAAATTGGCAATAATAATATCTCGCCTTAGTATTTATGGTACATCAGGCACTAACCTCTATATATTACACATGAGCTAAAATTATGTTTACTCTAGAAATGAAGAAACTGAGTCTTAGAAAGATTAAGGCACAAGTCCAAGATGATAGAACATGATATTTGAACTCAGGTAGTGTGACTCTAGGGCTTGAACTGATCACTATACTTTGTTGCCTTTCAAACTAAAGTGAAAGTGGTAATTATCTCTGAGTTGTACAGGTGGCTTTTATTTTAATTTACTGTGTGTCTTTTATCTATTTTATGGTTCTCTATTATCTGAGTCTTTTGTTACAAGCACAAATTACTTCAACCCTTTGTACTCGAAAACATCTCGGATCACTTACCAGCAACTAGATTGCACTTTTTTAACAAAATAGTGAAAAATGAATCACTTCATATTAAATAGTATAGCGTTGGGAACAATTATTTTATTGTAATGATATTTGGCTTATAATGAAATTTTGGACATTAAGAAACTTTATTTATGACAAAAAAAAATCAAAATTTTATATCTATTTTATTTTATTTTTTTGAGTTGGAGTCTCACTCTGTTGCCCAGACTGGAATGCAGTGGCACGCTCATGACCACCGCAATCTCAACCTCCTAGGCACAAGCAATCCTTCCGCTTCAGCCTTCCAAGTTGCTGGCACTATAGGTGCGTGCTACCACGCCCGTCTTATTTTTTGATTTATTGTAGAGACGAGGTCTCACCAAATTGCCCATTCTAAGGCAGTCCTCTCACCTTGGCCTCCCAAAGTGTTGGGATTACTGACTTGAGCCACTGCGCCTGGCCAAGATTTTATATCTTGTATTTTTCTAACGTGTGGTAACATGTGAAACAGTCGCCGTTATGTATTGCAGGTTCATTGATAAATGTTGTGCAGTAGTAATTTGTTTAACATCTTTCACCTGGTATTTTTCTGTTTGAGCAGGCAGTGTCTTATTTTCTTCCTCCCACATTAATAATGTGTAATTTATTGTCCAGTCTGTTGTTCAAAGACAACGTAGAAGGAAACACTCATGATTCCTGAAAATGATTTCTCAACTGATCAGAAGCTTAACAAATTTCAAATGGGACATCCGTTTTTCTTTTTTCTTTTGATGCTTGGTACAGTGTATAGGAGAGAATTATGTATATTTCTAGTCCTCAGAAGAATTCTTTCTCCACCATTTTAAAGATTTCCACAAAAAACAATATATAGAAGCATATTGATCTACACAGTCCACACTGCTTATATTTGCAATATAATTTGAATCATTTCAGGCTTTTTGACTGATAATGATATTTCCACCATGTAATGTCCTTGTCGTAGATTTCATTCCTGCATGGTTCCAAGTGCTGAGAATTGTAATAGTCCTTTTGTCCTTCCACGCTAGAAGCTAAGATTATTTTTCCTATATGCTACTATTTTTTTCATTTAAAACTTTGCTTTTTTATTTATGCTGGTATTCCCTTTCGGTTGACTTTGTATCAGTAAGATGACATTTCATCTTTAGTAGCTCTTCTTCTAGGACAGTGCTAGTGTAATATCTGCCAGTAAATGTGGTATCTTGCTGCATTAGGAACTTTTTTCAACAACTTTTTATGTAAATGTAATGGAATTCTGGTGCTTACTCGAACATCGCATCAGGTCAAATGATGTTTCTGGATGTTACACTGCCATGGTATTGAAGTATTGAAAAAAGATACACTGATTTTGAGTCAGCTAGTGCATAAATGTCTATACCCCATTTGGTAGGCTTATTTGGATTGCATGTTTTTGGTTTTTTGTTTGTTTGTTTGTTTGTTTGTTTGTTTGGTTTTTTTTTTTTGAGTTGGAGTCTCACTCTGTCGCCCAGACTGGAGTGCAGTGGCCGCTCCCGGCCACCGCAGCCTCAACCTGCTGGGCTCCAGCGATCCTTCCGCCTCAGCCTTCCAAGTAGCCGGAATTACAGGCATGCGCTACCACGCCCGGCTGATTTTTTGATTTATTGTAGAGATGAGGTCTCACTGCCCAGGCGGGTCTCGAACCCGCAGGCTCAGGCAATCCACTCACCTCAGCCTCCCAAAGGCGCAGGATTACCGGCTGAGCCACCGAGCCCGGCTGAATTGCATGTTATAAATTATATTAACCCTTTAAATTGAACAATGGATTCATCAGCATAAATTGCCTGGCCTGGTGTGAAGTATTGTGCAAATTTTGAATCGATGTATTCCAAATAATTATTGGTCTCTTGAATATGAGTTCTGATCGTCCCATCACTCGATGCAGGTGTCTAAATGAAGCATCCAGCCGGGCTCGGTGGCTCAGCCTGTAATCCCGCACCTTGGGAGGCTGAGGTGAGTG